CTGTGTCTCTGTGTCTCTGTGTCTGTCTGTCTGTCTCTCTGTCTGCCACGTTTGTCACTTCTGTCTTTGCACGCATGTAAGTACGTATGTATTTATGTACGCCTCTCCCTAAACATGTTCTTCGAAATGCTGTAGTTCGGGACAGTTGGGACACAGTTGGGTGCTTCTTCAACTCTGCAAAACATCTTGGGCCTACCCTAGCAAGGTTCTAGCCCGGAATTTCTAACCACCGCAGCAGCCCAGGGATTTCGTGCTTCGATGTGCCTTCAGTCACGTATACAAGGTCACTGCCATCAGGGGGTCGCTCGCAAAGGTAGGCGAAAATGTCAGCGTCCTGGCTGCTTGGCTCTCTCCGAATGGAGTTTCTACATAACTTCACAGCTTTTGAGCCTGAATGAAGAATCTCTAATCATTTCTGAAGCTCCTACCGAAGGTCGTTGTTGAGGGTTGAGGGTTTGGTGCTGTATGATCTTCTGATGGTGGCCCGGCCGTGCGCCGAAAAGGTTTGAGGCTTCAATTTATTTCGGCGGAGCGCCTACAAACTTACTGTAGGCCACATTGTTATGGAAACATGTGCGACTGGGCAAGGGTCAGTATAGTCATCAAGCTGTTGATACTCGTACTCGGATTGAAATGATTATACCATCTATCTCAATCTTCTAGCCGATTCTAGCCTGTAAAGCAAGGCAAGACCCAGGGACAAGCACACACTTTTTGCTGAAGTTTGGTCAAGTTGTTACGGAAAACTCTTTGAGCATCTTTGGCAAAAGCACCACGTCTGCGAGAAAACCAGGTGCCCAAATTACTGGCCAGTGTTCGAGCCACGGCACTTGCATGTTTGAGGGGTACGTGGAGTAAAACTTGCTTCCATCTGCTGAAGGAGCCGCCGGCAGGCATGATAAGACTCTAAGAGTCCTGGTTAGTGGTCGGCGGCTAGGTAGCTTGAAACGGAAGCGTATCTGCGAAGCGTTGGAGAGTCCGCATCATATCATCTTCATGGATGTCAAGTGTGGCCAACAGGTAAGAGAGTAGTGCAAGGAATGCAGTGGCAACATTGGCCAGAACACCCAGGATGAGCCCCGAATCAATCAGAACACCAAACATCTCCACTCCACATTTGTTTATCTTCAAATAAGCTAGAAAGCGGGTGTGATCTGTGCGTTCATCATCAACGCTGTCGTAGCCCCCTTTCTGGATTTCACCCTGGCTATATGGGCTGTGGCCGGACTGTGCTATCGCAAGCGACATGATGCTGCCGCCTTTGCTCGTAGACGCTGTTGACATGCACATGTTCGTGATGTTGGCAATGTCCTGCAATTTTCTTCCAAAGCTATAAAGTGGCGGAAGTACACCAAGCAAACTCGCAAGAGCCAGAACACAATTCGTGCTGTTGACAGCTGCTGACAGGCAAGCCACCCAAGCCATCATCGCAAAAAGCGCCAAGGAAGCCACATCGGGTGCAAACACCCAGCTGGCAAGAGTCCAGGCCCTCTCAATTTTGAGGTCCATATCGTAGTGTTTCTTCGTCGTATCCTGCCAGAACTTTCCGGTGCCCTTCCACTCCCGCGGACCAGCATGCATGTCGTCCATGAACCTCTGCACCAGGCACCTGCTCAATCTGTTGACCTGCCGCAGGACATGTTTGTAGCCACGTGAGTAAACCGTCATCCAACCGAGCAATGCAAGCCATCCCGCGAAGTAACTCTTGTCTGATCCGAACGAGGGGCAAAGTAAGATACCAGTCACGAGGTCGAAAATCAAGCAATTTATGATTTCTTCGCGCTCGCGGCTGTCTTCTACAGCTGTGCGTGTCTCGTAGTTGGTCAACAGCTGTCCAAATTCATCGCTTTCCAAAAGGATTGCAGCTGCCCTTGTTGCCTTCATGGAACACAAGGTCGACAAGCCCAGCATCAGGGATACCATGCGGGTGGCCTTCTCTCCATAGATGTCGACGAGGCCCGCATTGGGAAGTACAGCGCCGTAGATGCAAAAAACACATGTCACGAGGGCCCACAGCCAGCCTGCAAGCCCAAAGCTAAAGCATTGGAAACACTTCCTGGCCGTGGGCCCCAAGAGCTGCTTCCTTTCCATCTCGTCCCATAAACTGAGGTCACCGCCACTGAGGTGCTCTGTTTGCAGAGAATCAAACCCCGCCGGAGACATTAAAACAGAACGGTGGTGCATTTTGCCGGCCAGAAGCGTACTTGTGTGAGCTTGGTCGACAAAGCAATTCAAGACAAGGCTTTTGGATTACCCAGCTGGCATGCTCCTTTCTACTTTTTCGGCTTATCTAAACCGGCTCACTGTGGTACTATACCATTGCGTGTATCCGTCGCATACCTCGACCCTGCTCGACGTACTACAAACACAGCTACATGGCCTGTCTTATTTCCGTAAGACGTGAAGCTTGCTTGATGCTGCTGTCAGCCTCCATGCTGCCGGAAAGGGTGGCTCCTTTGTCAGGCATGCGCACGTTTTGGGTCTCATCCCCATCACCTATCCGCTCATGAAGCGCTGCCTGAGATCGCACCTAAACCTAAACTCCTGCACCACTCACAGTGGGCAGTGCAAGCTGAGCTACTACGTGGTGATACTATTCGGGGACTGACTATCGAAAGAATCGGAGTCAGTTTAACTTAGATAGCTCGGAGATTCAGAAATAGCTCCTGCACAAATCTGCACAACAAGGTGCTGCAAATGGGTCTTTCCGCAAAGAGGGTTTATTAACCAGGGTCTGAAACGCTCCTTCTGCATGCCGAAACCCCGGGCCCCGACATTCATCAAGAGAGCGATCTAGTCCCGGATTCAAAGAGTTTAGGGTTTAGGGTCTAAACTTGAGCCAATGACGGAATCTAGCAATCTAGACCTTTGACCTTATGCATGTCAGGGGAGCAAACGCGAAACAAACCAACCTTGCGCAAGCTCAGGCAGTTTATGCCATCAATTCCTGCATGGAAAATTTCTGCAGCTTGATGAACATGAACGACGGGCCGCTCCCAGCCCCCTAAGAACAAGGAGGCCTGTCAACTGAATCCAAAGCAAACCCTAGAATCTCGTAAGGCTTGTTCCGTAAAATCCCAGCACTAAACCCTAACCTATCAATCCCTTTCATGCCCGCAAACCAAAAAGCATAAACCCGATAACCACGTTTGCAAACAGGCCTCGTTGTCCAGCAGCCCGGTTTAGTCAAACACCACACTCCCCCAACCTATTGCCCTTAACCCTAAACTCTAAACCCAAGCCCCAAACAAGTCCCCTGCCCTAAACCCCTAAACCTCTAAACCTCTAAACCCTAAACCCTAAACCCCTAAACCCTAAACCCCTAAACCCTCAACCCTTCATGAAGCTGTCGTCAATCTCTGTTGCTCTTTGCCTCGTCGCCGGCACCTCGGAGCCGCAGTGACAGCACAGGAGAGCCTTGGTGTCCACAAGGATCCGGGTTTAGGGTGTCTAGGGTTTAGGGTCTAGGGGTTTAGGGTCTAGGGTTTCTCGGTTTTGGGTTTAGGGTTTGGGGGGTTTTAGGTTTAGGGGTTAAGTTGTTTTGGGTTTGTTTTTTGGGGGCTTTACGTGGTTTAAAATATTGGGCGGCGGGTTATAGCGGCTCCATACTACAAGGCGGTTAAGAGCGAGTGAGAGTTTTTGGTTCTTGATTTTGTAGCATGTTGTAGCCATATCAAGGAACCCTGAAGAACAGTATCATTGGCAATATTTCTGGAACGCTAGAGTTGCTAGGCTTTTCGGGTCACGGCCCCCTTTCTAGGGGTACAAGTACTTCTGATAAGGATCCTGCTCTTTCGAGTTATATGTTCGGGCCGCTGCTGGTCGGAAATCCTGTGCGAACCCCAGAAATCGCAGAGATAATGCACACGAGGGAGTCTTCATTGACATTCTGAACTGCGTTATGTGCCAACTCGTCTTTCGCCAATGTTTCTGAGTTGGAGACAGCTGGGAGTTTCTAGCACGTGCGACAAACCAGCAGGAAGACCCTAAATATGAGGATCCTGGCTAACGCAAGGATGCAAGGCGCCTTGCAGCAAGGGGCCCCACATGCAATCAACCCTAAACCCTAAACCCAAACCCTATGAAGAGACCCCCCAAAGCCATTCTACGACTTTCGTCGCGATATCCTTGTGGAATTTTAGTAAAGCAGAAAACTCAACAAAGAACCCCAACGGGATCCCAAGGGTTTAGGGTTTAGGGCTTGATGAAAAAACCCAATTTTCCCTTGCAGCCAACTCACCGAGCATGGCGACGGGAGACTGCAATGCTGGGGTCCTTGAAATCTGCTGCGAGGTTCAAGGTCTTAGGGCTTGGGGTTGTGGCTTCTGCAGCAGGACTTTAGGTATAAGGTTTCAGCACTCATAGGTCATAGCCACAGCCGGGCGAGGTGAAGAGTTTAGGGATGTAGGGAACTGCTGCAAGGTTTCGAGATTCGGGGTTCTGGGGTGTGTTGCGGAGCTCAAGTACAGGGGTTTCGGTTGGGGTGTTCAGGATTCAGGGTTTAGGGTGTTAGACTTGAGAGAGTTCTGGTTGCAGTTTGTCCTGGGTGCTAGGGCTAAGCCTTCTTTGAGATGAGCAGATAAGTTCAAAGGCATAGGATCTAGGCTAGGCTTAAAGTAGGGGCCTTAATAAGTAGAATAGGGTTTGGGGCTCCTTATACTTGTACTAAGGAACTTTAAGGAATGATATTGGTAATCATTCAGGCTGCTATATTAGGGTTATGAAGCTTTAAGGCCTGGCCTTTTGGTTTGCCAAGGCGTTCGGCACTCACTCAGACACTCCAGGCCAGGCAAGTCAGCCAGTCTGTCCGGAAGAAAGGAGAACTGCGTGCAGGTCCTCACTACTTCAAGGTTTGGGGGTTTTGTCAGTGGTGGCTTGGGTACCAGGCCGTATGTATAGCAGGGCTTTGAGGATTTCAAGCTCTGTGAATCAGGCTGCATGGATTTTTGGGGGTGAGGTCAGGGTGGGGCTCGTGCTCTCGAGTTCTTGGGGCCTGAAGCATTAGCGAAACCCTAAATCCCAAGACCCCATCAACCCCAAAATTCTTCAACAATAAACCCCTCCCTAAACCCTAAACCCTAAGTCCAGAAACCCGAATTGCAGCCCCCGACACTCGAAGAGTAGCGCTTTCCCAGAATCGATCGCAGACCTCAGGGTCCAAGTTGCGTTAAGCTTCGAAGCCGGCTTTAGGCCCTGCGTTTAGTTTAGGGTTTAGGGTTTAGGGTTTAGGGCTTAGGGTTTAGGGTTTAGGGTTTAGGGTTTAGGCATTTAGAGGGTTTAGGATGTAGGCCCTGCGTTTAGAGTTGGCGTATGTTGAAGAATCAGAAACTCTAAGCCATTTCGACAGGAGCTCAGGGCCTTAAACTCTACATGACAGTCTAAATCCTGTTGAAGACATCCGCACCTTCACATAGAAGCCTGAAGAGTTTGCTAATATTATCCCGGACTATCCCTTAGGGTTGCTTCATACAATGACACACCGAAATGCCCCGGAATGCTGTTTGAATTATTACGGCCCCCAAAAGTTACTATTGCATCTCTCAACCATCCGGGTCGCTGCTTCCACTGGTACTTTACCAGATCCTGAGCACCGGGGCGCGAGCGATCTTTCGGGTTTCTAAAGGAAATGGGGCGTAGGGCTCTTAGTGTTTTTAGGTTCAGGGTTTAGGGTTTAGTGGCTGCTACCACTGCTTGCAGCTATAGCTACTGTTCCTACTACGACTACCACCATCACGACAACCATAAACCCTCAACACTATGCCTTGAGCTTAAAGCCATTAGTCGCATTCTCTTCAATGGCCAAGTGCCCATGTGCACTCTCGTGCTTATGTGGCAAGCTTGAAAACATGTAGCTTTATGAACTCAGCAAGAAATTAAAGCACATCTACCGCTACTAAGATGTACATGCATATATACGTGTATATATATATATATATTTATATTTATATTTATATTTATATTTATATTTATATATGCATATATGCAGTAATAATTCTCAGTAATATGTATATACAAACATGATAAACATGTATACATAATATGAACATCACATGCTTTGTGGGCTCTCAACGAGCGGCCTTCTGCTCTAATTAGAGAGCATTGTGGCCAACATGGATTCCAGACATCCCTGATCTCCGGCAGATCATGACTGAGCTATGGGCGGCGAAGATAAGTACTACGCCCAACAACCCCAACCCCACCCCCAACAAAAAACAACATGCTCAATATGTTGAGCTCGGGGGCGGATTCTGGCAAAGTCTGTCGAAGAGTGTTCATATTAGTAGTAATAGCAACGAGAATAGTACTCGACGACAAACGCTGTAATTGTTGGTAGCCGTGCCTGCAAAAAACACAAGCAGGAAAAAACAAAAAAAACAACATAAACAAAGCCACTATTGGCGTCCCGTGTACCAGTCAGTACCCCACATTACTTCAATTTAAAGACTCCTGTGTTAGGGTTTAGATCCAAGGAATCCAGCTCATCAGTTGCTTCTAGATTCGAAACCCTAGGCAAGGGAACCCTATACCTTCGGCACCTCCACTGTGATTGCCTTAATCATTAGAATATGACACTGTGTCTATCAAGGGACTACAAGGGCATACGGTTTACAGTCAGTATTTTAAATATTCAAGCCCCTATATATGATTGGTCAGGCAGAGGCTCCATCATCTTGATCATCGCATTGTACCGGGACACACCGCCCCAGACCAGGTGAGCCTGGCTGGTTCTTTGCTGTCGCGTCCTCTCACCCAAACCCTCAAATTCTACACCGGGCACCAGATGTGCTTGATGCATTACGAAGGCATTCGAATCATTAGTTAGAAGTTTTAGTGTGAGATGAAAGATCTTGAAGGCTTTAGACTGTATACTACGTTTCGCGGCGTGCGCTTCTGGACCGTGCGAGTTTATAGCCGGCTTGTACCGCATGTCAACAGCGACTCTAAGGCCGCGTTGGATGCGATTCTGGCAACTCACACCTAGGTGACGCGATACCGCGAAGAAGTATCAACGTCTCCTCCTAGTCTTGAGTTTAGTGATTTGCGACGTCTAGGGCCGAAGCCGCAGTTTCCAAAACTCCACTTTGACGTCACGCTGCCAGATTTCAGGATCGCCTGATTCCGAAATCCGTATTGTAGAGGCCAAAATGATCCGAACAAAAAAC